TACATTACTTGAAAATACATGACTTCCAAGATAATTATGGTATTTATCAATCTGCATCCATCATGAGAGTCAAGAGGTGATTAACCGGGGAGAAAGCAGCTCCAGACTCCATTCAGAGGCTCTACATGACGACATATTTAGAGCTCATGCTATATTATGTTTGCTTTTAATAGAAATTGTCTTATACTGAGATACTGTTTAGCAGTGGAAAGCTATTGCTGTCATACAAAGCTTCTGCACGTCCACACAATAATAATTCAGTTAGATTCTCTTTTATGGGTCTAGCTGTTCTGATGCATTTAATAGAAAGAAATCAATTGAGAAACTTCAGCCTTTCTGAGTCTAAGCCTCAGCAGTTGCCTTTATTCAGCAAACATCTCAGCAAAAGCTATAAAGAAAATGATGACTACCGGTCACATTATGGAAAGTTAACCTCCTTAACTGACTGTAAATTTGTTTTGGGAGGTTTTATGGTCAATAAAAGTGATTAGACAGGTGAAGCTGTAGTTACATGTGGAAAAACAACAGCTGAGTCAGATGCCATCTGGGAATCAGGTTTTAAAGAGTAATTCGGCCAAACAGACTCCTTCCCCTGACAATGTATGCCTCATCCCTATGTCATGTTATCCAAGCGTAGAAATAACAGGCAATTGAAAAATCCTGTGGGAAAGAGCAAACCCACTTCATTCAGATGAACTCAAATAAAGTGCAGTGTTAGTGCCTGTAATGATGAGTCCACAAAGCTTTTCTTCTGGTATGGGAGTTATTTAACATCCGCACGGACACAAAGACTTGGATTAAAAACAGACCTAGCTCTCAGAGGAAGAATGCCCTCCAGAGAAGGGGGTGTTCTTGCACAGAACCCCATTTTTTCAGACACAGACAGAAAGATAACCACACTCCTTTGGGATCTTCACAGGGCAGACAAGATCTATCCCCCAAAATATCCTTTCATTACCACAAGAAGGACGGGGAGGAGGGAGTGAGGGCAGCAGTGGAGAAACAAGTGATAAGCACTGCTGCGGGAGAACAAAAAGCCACTTGATTCTGAGCGAGGAAAAGAGAGGAGGGACCAGAAGGGATAAGTGAAAGGCTCACGCTGAGAGGATGAGGAGCCTGCCTCTGCTGCTCTGCAGAGATTGAGCAGACGTGTCTGCTCGGTGCAGACGCAGACCTTAAAATCCTTCTCTTTAGAACAATCCTTTCAATAAGAGACACCATGACTGTCTTTCGGTTTCTATCATGTCTCTTGACTGTCTGCAGGAAGAGCTAAATTTTACTCTTGCACAGTTCCAGTTGCCATAGCAAAATTGCTCCTCAATGAGAGATGTTATTCATCTTCAGGAATAACAGTCACTTGAACCTGGTGACAAACATATAGAAAAACAAAACACACCAGTCTTTTGTGGCATAATCCTGAATTTAGAAAGTCAGAATGTGCACTGACTGCTTTCTTCTTCTTAAAAAGAAGAAGGCAACACTCTTCCTTTTAAGAGAAAGTAAAAGAGGAAGCGTACTAATTATGTTACCCAAACTTGAACCTAACAAATTTTCACAATCCTCTTTCACGGGATCACTGCCTCTGCTGAGCATATTATGAGCACCACTTTGTTGATTAAGATTGTGTAACCTTTTTGTTTGGCCTGAATCCTATAGAAATATGAGTCATTCACTGAGGCCTTGGGCACCATAGTGAGCCTCATTGTCCTTGCTCCTAAGCAGGCTTGTTGTACAAGTGAGCAAACACACATACACACACACACAAGCCTAAGTCGAAAGCCTCTTGGAGAGTTCGCTCCCGTTTGGAAAAAGGAAGTGCAACATCCAGTCTCCGTATTGCTGACAAAAGCTTGTTGAGACCAGGCCAGTATGGTAGCTATCCTGTTGCTAATAACTCTTGACAGAGGTATGACAGTGCATCAGAAACCATAGAGGTGGCCATGACATACTGGGTATCACTAAATCTTGGCAACAGACAAACACTTTTGATCAGCAGGTCACAAACGTAACAAATAGGTGAGATCTCGGCTTTGCTAATGCCTACACCCATGAAATGGGTCGGACAGCTGTGGAGCATTACTGATAGAAGTTTACACACTGTTTGGGAATAATTTCCATATCTGCCTTTTTTCAACTTTGAACAAAAACAATGCTCTGAACCAGGTGAAAACAAAAGTCTATGCACAATTATTCTATGACCATGGCCTGTTTTTCAATCGTGAAAAGACATTTGAAAGCTGAAAAGCTATAAGAGACTGTAGCAATGTGTAGCTAGGGGGGAAAAATGCTTTGATACAAGTTGAAAGGGCATTACAACCTTCCAAGAAGAAAAAAAACGTCCTTGCCGTTATGGAAGCAGTTCAAAAGTTCCTATAAAATGCAATTTTCCTCCTTCAAATCAACTCTGGAAGGTTCAGATTCCCAGCACCTGACACGTACAATCTGGGTCATACTACTAATAAAAGCTACTGTTTTCGCACATAATTCGTTGTGTATGTAGGGCTACATGTGTGTGCATGTCGGTGCTTATGTGTGTGTTTCTGCAGTGTAAGCACATGCTGTCCTCCATCTGCTGTTTGATAGAGACTGTTTCCTTTCCTGTGCAGCCAGCCAACCAGCCGGCCTTCCTGTACTGCTCTGCTCCAGAGAGGAAACGGGAGCAAGAGAGACACACACTCTTTGCAAACTCGCTGGATAAGATACGTGCACATGCATTTGCAGCTGGAAGCACAATGATGATTTAACCACGCATTGTACCACAAAAACGCATGTAGATAGTCTCTCGATTCTCTCTCTCTCTCTCCTTCCTCCCATCTCAGGCTTGTCTTCCTTTCTGCCCTTGACTGTATTGTTCTCCTTTTCCTTATTTGAATCACCATTACTCACTACGATATTTCAACTGCACAAAAACAAAGCAGAGTGCCAAATAAAAGAAAAGTCAAAAGCATGGATTTTGTGGCGCTTTTGCAGCTGTAAAATCTGCAGTAAGTTACAGGATCTCCTCTCACTTAAACAACTGAAAATAAAGAGCTCTGCTACTGCAAAGAGGTACAAACAGTTAACTTTACCTGACATATTTTACCTCACCAGATAACAGGATATTGATCCTTTTTCTTTTTTACTTATCACCAAAAGTTTCTTGTAACTGCTTCACTCATACTGAGCAAAGATTTAAAGCGGTGACCTTTGATTTAAGTGTCTAAAAGGTTTGTTTTTACACTTTCGTGGTGGTTCCCCCCATGGTTTACCTTTGTGTGCATTGTGTCTTTGTTTTACAGTAAATAAGTTCTATATTAATTTAATTTGTGGTTATGAGTGCATGACTATTTGTCTGCACTGCTGTGTGCATGTTGTACACACATGAACTAGATGGGCAAGTAATGAAACACATGTGTGGTTAACCAGCCGGTTACCAGTCAGTCTGATTCGAATCCCTGGCCTATCGATTGGTTCACGTGCACCAGGTTTGCTAAAAACTTTGGTTCACGTGCACCAGGTTTGCTAAAAACTTTTAGCATCTTTATATCTTATATTTTTATACTCGTGACCATTAACATGTGCTGTCTCTATTACATATGGTTTAGCTCACTGGGTTGAGCAGGTGACTCATATATAAAGGTAATGCAGAAGGCCCCGTTGTGGTCATAACACATAAGTGGTAAAAGCAAATAAAGCCCTAAAAATATATTTTAAAAAATGCTACTGGTTAGCTATCTAATATGAAGAACATTAGATGTTGCTCTTCCATATGTGGTTAGCTGCTGGAATACTAATCTTGGATGTGTTTGCAAGCTTCTGTAGTTAGCCAGTGCACCTACAAACATAAATCTATTCTACTATAATAAAACTTGAACATTGTAAAAAAAAAAAAGAAAAAGCTTAGCTTTTTGACTTCGTAAAAGAGTTTTCCCACTCGTCCTCTGTGGTTTTTTTGCCTCGTTAAAGGCTCTGTTGTTTGGTCTGTTTTCTTTACCCTGTTTTATGCATCTCACCACCCCTCAGCTTTCAAGCTTTGTGCACAATACAATATCAACTGTGAGCCGCAGGACTTAATTGTCATCTGTATCAAAGGTGGACAAGACCCATTCCTTTTTGTCTGGATTCACTTCCATGCCTGTCTTCATTAGTTCTCCTCTCATGCCTTAAGCAGTGAGTCTTCAGTGTTAGCACTGCCGACTTTAATGTCACAACATGATTCTGCAAGCAAAAAATATGAGGTTCATAATACTTTTTAAAGGGCAAGACAATCAAATCTAACCAGAACAAGGTGCTAATCAGGTTTCTCTTGTTATTATTACAAAAAAGTGACTTTGATTCGTTCCAGACTCCTGGTTGCATGCAGGGCTTTTCTTGCTAAGAGATTCTTTTTTCCCCAAAGACATGCTTGTTAGGTTAATTGGTGATTCTAAATTGGCTGTAGGTGTGATTGGCTCTCTGCATCTCTCTCTGTGAGCTCTGTGATACACTGGTCATCTGTCGAGGCTATACCCTGCCTCTCACCACATAACAGCTGGAACAGGCTCCAGCCCCTCCTGACGTTCACTCATTGCTTTTAACTTTAGGTGAAACGATTGCACTTATGTGCTTAGTCTACTCCCTAAAGTCCATTTTCAGGCAGAAAAAAAAAACCTGGCAAATTCATACTGAAAATACAAACGAAAGCATTTTATACTCTTTATATTCATACCCTTTTAATTTGCACTAAGCTGACCAGGCTTTAACAGCAATGCACCATGGTGCCACTTCCTGTTTGCACTGTTTACTAGCTGACGCAGACAAAAGCTGGAGCCATGAATATCCAGATTGAGGAAGTCACGGAATGGCCAAGATGCAATGCAGTAAAAGGTCTATTAATATACAAAGAAAATGAAAAGCCCTGTACCAAGCAAAAGATGTGAAACACTAATCTCAACAGTGAAAAGATTTTTTTTAAACATAAGTCAGCAGCTGCTATACAGTACAAATGGTCAGATTGCAAAGGTCACAATGTGCTGAATTACCTGGATGAGTTTTAATTCAGTGTAAGCCTTTCCTCGTATCCATAATAGCAGGTCACATGGTTCTGATCGATTCGAGTGGTCACATTGTTGTAGTTATCTCCAGGGAGTAGTTAGACAGAAGAAGGCATGTTGGAGTGACGTGAATCCCTGGATCACTTGTGGGTCTCAGCTTTTCACTTCCAGGAGTTTATCAAGCAGGAGTCAGCCAAAATGTTTGAGGAGCAGCACTGTAAGCCTTAAAGGGATTCTCACCACCTTTATTTTAGGAGAGAGGGAGAAGGACACAGAATACATTAAACAACTGACAACAAAGAGAAACATGAGGACGAGAAGCTAGAGGATGAGGAAGGGGTGATGTAGTTCCAGTCTTAAGCAGAAATGGTATGTGGCAAGCAGGAGAGCACAAATTTCAGAGGATAGCCTCCTCAAAGTAATGAGTATATGGTACTGTATATAGACAGTAACACCTTGCCTTTCATCCATAATGATGCTATTTAGCTTTGATGTAAATTGAGAAGAAAGCATGAACACTGTCTTCATAAAAAAAAAAAAAGAAGAATGGTGGAGATGGCACAAAGTCCAAGACAGTGGTAATGGATGGCTATGCACTGAATCCACACACACTGGGAAAAACTTTCATTAGTTTATTTTTGGGAAGTCCCATTTTGCAAGCCATCTATAATACAAATTACTCTTTCAAAACACTTGGTATCCCAGCTCACCTTATTTGCAAATTTTAAAAAAAAAAGGCTCCACATCTTTTCTATATGTGCCAGAAATGGAGCATAGGTTTACATAAATCCACCTCCTGTATGTCTGCCAACACATTTTTAACAATTTCAGTCTGAATGTGTGAGAAAACCCTCCGTTACCCATGGGAGACCTGAAAGGAGGGTATAAAGAAGGAGGGGAGGATGGGTGAGGAAATGGGGACAAGGAACATAATTTATCTAACTGAGAATCTGGGGGAAGCTTTTTTTTATGTGGAAACCTTATAAATAAAGTTTCACCTTCAGCTGAAGGATTCTTGGATAAAACTTTAATTCTTAAAAATCACATTTCTAAAAAAGAAAGAGAAAAACACAAAAACACAGAAGAAAAGAAAAGATTTCAGCAGTTTTCACTTGATAGCGATGGGGAGCATGCATGCCGAGTGGTTGCTATGGTGACTGTCACGTCTAGCCGTGCAAAAGGAAGGTGCGGATGGAGGGGTTTCTCTCCCTCTCTCTGGCTGTTACAATAAACTAATAGAAACATCTCCTAAAGCCCTATCCTTGTTCTGCCCTTTCCCACTGGAAAACAGGCAGTCAACATTTGCTGTAATAAATGAATTGCCACACTTCAGGATTCCCATGATAATCAAATAACAGCACAAGCCAAAACATCCAGATTCAGGAAGGACAAAGTGGAACAGAAACCAAATTCCGCCCCCAAAAAGGAAATATCATATTGTTAAGTTTGCACAATATAGTTTTAGATTATAACAAAGTTCCTGGGAAGCACCATGAGAGACCGCTTTAAATCTCATATCGTCTCAAAGTGCATAAATAAATAATATAAGGTCTGACAGTGTGGAGCCAGATCAAGAAAACTGTTGAATAATAGAAGAACCTTCCTGTAATGCAATCAGATGCAGTGCATCACTGAGAGCAAAGGACTGCAAACCGTGAAAGCTGCTAAAAGCAGAATACAAACGTGTACAACTTTGTACGTGTAAAACTGAATTACTGTGAAAAGCAGTAATACATCAAAAATTTTGTGTCAGATACAATATTTAACTCAATCTCTTACGGGGCACATGAAAAAGGCAAAGTATGCATAGTTGTGACAGGTGGGGGGAAATACGATGAAGTGAGTCAGTCAATCGTGCGTGCACATTTTATTATTGTTATTTAAAAAAAATGTCTTGTTCTCCACTACAGCTGCAAAATAAATATCATTTAAACTAAAGCAAGACCAATATAACCAATTGTATTTAGCAAGCCAGGTTGTCCGTGATGACTGCATACAGCTCTCACTTCGTCAAACAGCGCATGCGATAAAACAGCCCATAAATAATCAGTCGTACTTGTCAGATAAAATATGCTAGGGTACGAAATCATTTGCACACCTAGAGGGGTATAAAATACATTCTGAGCTCAATATGCATTATAAGTAAACACAGCCAAAAGGTCATGTGTTCCACAAAGATACGCAAACAACAGCTCGGCTACTGGGATTAAAAGCAAATAGAGTTAAAACTATAGTCAAACAGGAATATATATAGAAAAGAAACTTAATAAAAAAAATCATCTTCCACTCTGATGTTCATCTCAGCGAGGAACAGATTGTGCAAGTGCAACATATGTGCTTTTCCTGCAGGTGTAAGATTTACAGCTCTGCACCAAATCTCGCATACAGCTGTCATTTTCCCTGCCAAAGCCTGTTAAGTTCAACCCAAATAGAACCAAGGTGACAAACAGCAGGTCAAACACAGATGGACACCTATATGTATGTAGCAGACATCTTTGACTCATCTACCTCTCCAGGGTTGTGGTCAATCAGATTAGAGCATCACACTGAGATTTCCGAATACACTAACACAAATCCAATTATAGAGATAAGCTCTGCGGGCAGCTACTCCCATCACACACACACACACACACACACACACACACACACATAGAATGAGAGAGGAGAGAGATGTCACTTCACCCTAGCTGCTATCGGGCCCCAGCATCAGTCCAGCACAAAAGTCCTCTCTGACCTGCCACTATGTGTCACTTCCAAAAACACAAAGCCTCTATGAACAGTTCACAACTTTCCCAAAGACTGATACAGACTGATTCATTTCCAAGCAATAAGGAAAATATGACCTTTGTGTCACGGTTCTGGGTCAGTTTGACCCAGTATTTTGAGTTGTTATGTTTTGGTTCATTTTTGAATGATGGATTGTTCTTTATGTTTCTCTGATGCTTTGTTGGGTTTTATGATGAATCTGTGTTTCAGTTATTTTGGTGTGTTTTTGCATTATGGATTGTTTTCTTATTCTCTTGTAGTGCTTGTGGTGATGATGATGATGATGATGATGATGATTTTCATGTTTCTGTTTATCCATGTTTAAGGATTTGTTGTTTCATGTATAGTTTGAGTTGCATGTGTTATATTCTGTCTGCCTCTCTGTCTGCGTCTTTGTTTAGTGGTTTCTTGTTTCCTGTTTTATTGTGAAGGTCTGTGTCTCATTTGAGTGTGTTCAGTTCTACTGCTCCCCTGTCTCGTTAGTCCAATTTCTCCCAGCTGTGTCTCCCTCCTGTTGCCCATTCCCTGATTACCACCCTGTGTATATTAGCCCTGTTTTTTCCTGTGCTCAGTGTTGTGTCATGCCATCAGACTTGCCTGTGTGTTTCAGTTTCTAGTGATTCAGTGTCAGTTCATGTTTTGTCACCAGCAATAAAGCTGACGTTTTTGAGTTTCAATTCAGTGTCTGAGTCCTGCATTTGGATCCTCCATCTGCCTGCATATAGAGCCCTGACGCTTTGAGTATTTTCTAAGTGCTACATAATGGAAATTATTAAAAGACGGTGGTAAAATTTAAAAGTTAAGGCCTATAGGAGATGAGAGCAGTTTAGCAGCTGTTTTACAAAGTGTTATAGAAATGTAAAAGTGAGAAGAGTGGCAAGGTGCACTGTGATTTATGGTGTTTAGAGTCAAACTTGAAAGGGACTAAAATCAGCCTTTATGAGAACTGCAGCAGCAGAAACGATAATGAATGGCACTTCAGAAATAAAAGCATGTGTGCCAGCTCTCTGATCTGTTATGAATGGAGCCGTGTCCCTGATTAGCCGTCACCACACTGTTGCCTTAATAATCCAGAGCAAGAGGTCAGGCAGGAATGAAGAGTGTGATTTTGTTATCCGATACTCCCTCGCCTGTCTGTGTCACTTCCAAACACACCGGTGGATCTTGGCATCCAGGTTTGATGAGCACCAGTAAGTGGCCCTCAGCCAAAGTAAGCAGGATATGAATGTGATAAGATCATATAGCAGCTCTTCCAAACTTGGCATTTGGAGTTATAATCAAGTATCTCAAAATTTCCTAAAGGGGCCAGTCAGGACTAGATCCTTTACAGACAGACTGTGGATGACCACATTGATACTGATATTTATTTAGTGGACAGCTAAATGAGAACTCTGATTTAATACGCACCTGTGGCTCTCTCAGATCGATAATCAATACCGTGATAGGGCACTAAATTACCCAGAGCTCAGAACAATTGAGCATCTGTGGGGTGAGATGGAAACAATGAACTTAAAGCTGAACTTAATATAGCAGAAAATAGGTTATTTGCAAGATGAGGATTCGCTGAAGCAAGGCCACCTTTAGCAGAAACTAACACTAACCCTGTGTGTTTGGTCTGCCCAGATTTTCCACTTCATGAATGATTATCCCTTCATTTAAACCTTTTATTTGGGTCCCACATTAGAAAGAAAGGGACATAAGTGAATGTAAATATGAAATGCCAAAATGCACACAGAAACCAAAATCAGACAGAACTGAAAGAAAATACAGCATACTTTGTTGAGATATGGGTCACGACCGCTAATTCATTTTTCCTTTGATTTCTGTGGAGATCTTTGGTGTCCTTTCAGATATTAATTTAAGATATTTCTAATCAAATTAGTTTCACAATGACATACGTTGTTTGTTTTTAGAGAAATTTCTGAGCATCTATTGGATGCTTTGCCCTAACAAAGAAAACACAATCAATGGATGAAACCTAATAACTGTATCTGGCTTTTTACATAGGGTAGATCAAAGTTTCCCCTTCTCTATTTGGTGACTGTGGAGTAATGTTAACTAAAAAATATGAAAAAACTAAAATTCGATGAGGAAAAAAACTTTTATTTAACTAGAATAAAAATACAAATTTAATGTGAAAAAAAAAAAGAGAACTGAAAGGATTTTGTGATAGGAGGAAACAAGGAGTCAGGTCAAATTTGTTATCACAGCTCGCCAGATGAGGTGCTGATGGGCACGTTCATTGAGACTTAACTGAAACTAAACAAAATGTAAAACAAAAAGTCAAAATGAAACTAGAACTGTAATACAAATCAATAATAATTCTGTGGTGCCTCAGTTTTCCTGTTCTAAGCTGAGAGAATAGGCACTATATATATATATATATATATATATATATATATATATATATATAGTGTGTGTGTGTGTGTGTGTGTGTGTGTGTGTGTGTGTGTATGTCTTCTTGACCATGTCTACAT